CGTGCGCAACATTCTCAACTTGTCTTTTGCAAGCGTTAACAATGTTTATAGTGAAACATGAATCCTCAGGCATACAAAAGACATCCAACTTAATCAAATATCTTTGAGACGGATTTGAAGTAGATTTTGCGCTCAAAGCATCATTTTGCAATCTTTGCAGGCATTCACCGCAACAGGTACTCAGTCCAATTACCCCTGTGCAGTCATCTGCACCATTGATCTTTTTAAATTAGCCTAGGAAAGGAGTCAAGTAGAGGGTCTCACTAGTGAATAGCGAGGTTAAATGAGACAGATATATGTATCTGTTGTGTATGTGAACTTTCTTGGAACCACTAAAGTCTTGCCAGAATGAAATGAGACTATTACACTCATACAGCGACTACAAGTAACAAATAGAAAGGTTGACAGCTGTGAGAATATTTGATAGATCGCACATTCTCCGCATTTCTATTATACACATGCAATAATGTAGTTATCTATGCGGCAGATAATATACCCACTCGGCTATTTGGGATAAACAAACCAGAATGTGGAGCTAGTCTCGAATTATCAGACAGTGTATTTGTAACCCACACTGCCTGTCTAAGCTATGAAAATTATTTCAAGATTGCTTTGAACTAAAGCAGAACTATGCAGAAATGTGTCGCGAACCTTTTTGATATCTATGAAGAAAAAATTTGAAGTAATTGCAGGGATGAATCCCTGATGGTACATGATTTTCACTGCAAATACGATCAAAATTCATTAACATATTCACAAGAAAGCTCAAAACTGTAATATTATGTACAGGCTTATGTAAGGCACAGAAGTAGAGATTGTTGAATCTAAATAACATGCACAATAATGTGGAAAAGTAGAATATAAGAGCAAGCTGTGATATGGTGATTATTGGAAGTTATGCTTCCAATGCTCATGTTGGCTGCAGTTTCAAATTCAAGAAAATTTTTCCTTGAATCAGCATTTTATAACACAAATTTGCATGATACTTTGAATTTACTCTTTTTCTGACAAAAAATTGCTTCTGGACAGCAAAATGAAGAATTTGTCAAGAAAAAGCGAATGGCATGATTTCTAACATCAGATAATGCTTTTAAAAACGGTCAAGGTGTTGAGGTGCCTCATTTGCACCTTGTTTGTGCCTCTCGCAAGGT